CGCTGAATCGACGCTAACCGACGCTAGATCGGCGCTATTTAATTGCCTTGCAGACGCTAATCGGCGCCAGTCGACGCAAAGGACGGAATCATAAGAGTGCACAACACGAGGCCCCTACATGATCTGCTACAGGAAAGCTGTCCTCGAGGATGAGGCACAGCCGGTTGAAGAGGGTGATCTCGCGCTGCTTGAACTTGCCCTGCGTCGACGTTCGCGATCCACTACACTCGCAAAGTGACTACTTGCAAATGGCCTGGATCCCCCGCGGGGGATCTACGATACACTACACCAACCAAAGCAGACATGTCTTTTCTGGACGCTTGCGAGTAGGCACCCTGCGAATCGTGGAACGCGCTCGACGACTGTGGGCCGAGGTCCCCGGCTGCGCCCCGCGTGGGCTGGGCGGGCGCGGCCGGGGCGCGGGGCGGGCTGGGGGGGCCCTCCGGCCGTCCCCCCCCTCCCTCGCTGTGGCCCTCCCCTCTCCGGCCTCCTCTCCAGCCCCCTCGTCCGCCCTCGTCCGCCTCCGGTCGCCTCCCTGGGCTCCTGCGCCGGCGCTCTGCTGCGCCTCCCTCCGCCCCGTCCTGCTCCACCGAGTGGCTCCTCCCTCCGCCTCCTAATTGCGCACGCCTGTTTCATCATTCCCCCCTCATCCTTACCTTACCCTGCCCTCTCTGTTCTCTCTTCCAGTGCTCCTCCGCCCTCCTCCTCCGGAAGATGTCTCGCCCCCCCTGCATATTGTTTTCGCACACACACGATTGCACGAAAATGAATTGTTTTCTAGTTGTTTATACTCCTCCCGCTACAGCGTGGGCATCATTTTCAGAAGATCGGCGCCTCGCTCCTGTCGGTCAGACTGGCGCTCTTGCCCGACTGGATCCGAGCCCTTCCTCATCGTTGTCGCTCCCCTCCTTTCCCCTTCCTCCACCTGCCCCCTGGTCCTCCTGTTCTTCCCACTGCTTCCACTTCAGTTCCCGCTGCTGCTGTGCGTCCTCGTCCTCCTCCATCCTCATTTTCCTCCTCGGTTTCCTCCTGCTCAGCTCCCCATATTCCGATTGCCCATAACACGATGGGGCCCTTTGGGGAGTTCCAGGTCCGCCATTACATGCGTCCTCGGATAGAGAAAAAAAAACACACACTGGGAAGGGATGTGGAAGACGGGATAGGATGTAAGGTAAAGTATGAGTGCCCCTAGCTTGTCCATTCCCCTCTCCTTTCGAACTCCAACTCGCAACAGTCACCTGTGGGGGCGGCCGGGGGGTCTGAACTGGCTGGGGCCTCAGCAAAGAGGGGGGATGAGGCCAAAGCCGCCCAAAATCGGTCTCTGGACCCCGACCCCTCCCGGGGTCCATCTGGCGCGGTTTTTTACCCCAGATTCGTTTCTGACGGTCCCAGAGTCCGAACGCATCTGCCGATGACGAAAAAGGGCAAAAATCTTCCCGTTAATGCTGGGCCACCTCAGACCCCCTGCCGACTTCAACCATGTCCTGTCTCCCGGTCGCCTATCGGTGGTGCAGCGCCCAAAAAGGAGTCACCCTTGCCCTCCGTTGGAGGCCTCCCAGATGGGAACGGAGTAGATTGGGTCGGAGTATCGCGCCGCATCGGCGATCCATCATCGATGCATCGGCGACGTCGGCGATGCATGGGCGTGGTGAAAGCTGGGCTCCGCAGCGAGTCGTATCGCGGATGCATCGGCGATGCGTCGCGATCCTCCGACCCCAGATGGTCCCCTCCATGCTCAGAAAAAGCTACGTCCAGACGGAAAGTAGTCTGGACAGAGACTGGGCACTCCGTGTGGACTCCGCACGGGCTTAGCATCCTCCGACATGCCTCTCCCTCCATCGCTCCCCTGCGGCGGCTCTCCTGCACGACTCACGGTCGCGGAGAGTTGGGCGCGAATTTAATCTGGGGGCCTAAAGGCCCCCGCTTGGGCCCTGAAGGGCCCGTTAAGGGCCCTCACGGGCCCCTTTTCTGCAGCCCTTGCTGCCCTTGCATATCTGAACAAACGTGCTCAACTGCTCTCAAAGTCGCTGCTTGCAAAATGGCCTGGGTCCATGATGTCGAAGCGTATCGAACAAAGCCCACTGCATCGAACCACGCTCGTTTCTGATAACCTTTGCGAGTAGGCACTTTGCGAGTAGTGGAACGCGCTCGGTGATTGTCGCCCCCCCCCCTGGCCATCGCTCGGACGTCCATTTCCTGTGTTTTTCTCCGTTTTGTGCGTGGATTTTTCACCAAATGATCAGGGATGCTCCTCGATAATCCTCGCCGAAGGAAAACTGCACACGTCCGAGCGGTGCCAAGCCCCGTTACTCGACGTCTGAGAGGAGGGGCGGGCGGCGGCTGCCAAGCTCGGGGCTGCCCCTGGGCTCCCCCGAAGGGGGGGACGGCGAGGCAGCGCACGTGCGCTGCCAAGGCTTGCACAGCACCTGCGTCCCGGACCCACTCCCAGACAGACCGTCGGGGCGTTGACCGGAGGAACGATAAATAAGGAACGAGGCCCCTTTTGCCCATAAGTTTAACTTCGATTCCCGATCGAAAACCAAAGGTGAACCTAGAGGCAATCAGTAACACCTCCAAGGAACATGGAGCCCCTGCCAAACGCAAAGGGTTCCTTCTTCAGGGCCCCGACTGTACGGCGCCTCGACAATACTCGAGGCGGAGACCTTTTCTCGCTTGCGGCCTCTCGGGTCGACCCTCACCGCGCCCCGGGGCCGGGACAGAAGCGACTCGGGCTGGAAAGCGGGTCCCGGGGGACGTGGTCGAGAGGACGGGGGGCCCGTCTCGCCAACATCGCGGCGGCGGATGTCTGGGCTCGCGACGTGAGCGAGGAACGGCTCGAGCCTGTTTTTTGTTAGACTCTAGCAAGTTTACTTGCATGGGCGAGGGGGGGGGGCTGAACCTGAAGTAAGCCGCAAACGACTTTACGTGATGAAATCACGCAAGTCGAAAGGCACTTGCACGCTCGTATTCTAGAGGAGGCGCGAGGGGTGGGGTGTGTTGGGGGGGGGGGGGGGGGGCGAACGCCATGCAAGTAAACTTGCCCGAGTCCAAAGAAAAACAGGCTCTTCTCGCTTCGGCCCCGGGGCCCAGGACGGTCAGAGAAGGAGTCTCAGCATGAACAGCCAGTCCTGGGCACCTTGTCGAGATTCCTGGGGGTCGACAACGAGTCGGGTGCCTGGGTGAGAGACGGACGGGACACCCTGACTGAACCGTGGAGGGAGGCGGCGATCTGAGGGAGGCGGCGATCTGGCCTTGGTCCGGAGAAGTCTTCGAGGCGTCCTCCAACCTGAGAGGCGGTGGAGGAGGATCGAGCTTCGAGGATCGAGGACCGATGCTTCTGCAACGATGTCTGCCCTTTCTGGTGTTTCGGAGGCCTCTGGGGGCCTCCATGGGACCTCTGGAGTAAAACAGGGCTAGGATCGGGATGAATCGCTCCAGAGCGTTCCGGAGCGCTCTCAGAGCGTTCCGGAACGCTCTGGAACGGCCGCGGCGCCCAATACATCCTCCAAACCCGCCGATCCTCAGAGCTTTCGAGCTATCCCGATCCGATTTTGTCCCGATCTTCGCGTCGTTTTAAGGCCCCTGGGCGCCTCCGGAGACCTCCACTGGGAGAGCGAACGACCGCGCGACCAAACCAGGGTGCGCAAGTGTCCGGACCTACTGGGGGGCCAGGGGAGCCAGGCGCAGCCTCGGGAGCTGCTGTGCGTGTTCCCACGCGTATGGCCGACATACGACAGGCACACAATTCGGTTGCGCAAGGGGACGGCACACGACATACGACATACAGTGGAGGCCAGTCCACAAGAAACCTGCCACGAAAACCAAACCCTGAGACACCAGGACGTCCACTGATTCTTGGTGTGGGAACGGCACGCTTTCCAATGCAAAACCATCAAAACCCAAGAAACCAAGGGCACCCTGGAGGCAACAAGGGTGTTTCTTGGCATGGGTCTCCACTGTGCACAAAAAAGAATATACATACGACCTACGACATACCGAAGACGAGGGGGAATCCTTGCAGTCAATGTCGGCATTTGTTGGCGGTACCGTTGCTGGGGGGGCGTGTTCGTCACCGCTTGGTGGTGCTGGTGCTGTGGGTCTATGATCGTCGTTGGTGGGCAGTTCGTGGTAGGTGATTCGGGTCTGCTCTGAAAGCATTTCCCGTCGGTGTTGGTGGTCTGTCCTGGGCTTGATGTTGGTGTCGGCTCAAGGCAGAAGAATGCGGAGGAGGAGAATCATGAGGAGGGGGAGGATTCAGTGGTTTGGAGAGCAAGGCAGAAAGATGGAAAGAATGCCCTTCTCAAGCGGGAGGAGGGCGGAAGAATGGTGAGGAGCAAGAGGAACCCTCGCAGATCGTTGGAGGTTCAAGGGGGTCCAAGGAGGCTCGATTGAGGGCCTATAGCCCAGGAGAGGAGGGGCAGGCTCTCTCTCTCCCACCAGGGCGCTGCTCTGCAGTAGGCGGCGCAAGGTCCGAAGGTACCCCAAGAATGCGCGCAGGTACGGCAAGTCCGCGTCGAGGAGCCCAACATGCAGCCCCCCTGCCTCGCACGAAGAGTCGGGCCCCGGATCTGGCAGGGCTCTCCAGCGCCACAGGCGCTCCCTCGAGAGGGGACAACAAAGGCATGAACATCAACGTTCGACGGGCCGCGCGCACTTCTTGGATTTGACTGAGCTGGACCCCCCTCTCTGGAGCGCGGAGCACGCCCAGCTCGGCGCCTGGGGCGCCGCCCGGGGAACCCGGCGCAGCTCCAAGAAGTCCGCGCGGACCGCCAAAGGCTTTTGTTTATGCCATGGTCTGTGCTCTGTTCGGGGACCCCACCCCCAGCCACAGCGCGGATTTGAACACGCGCAGCAGCGCGGAATGATGCCAGGCCTCGAATTTGCTCTGGACCCCCGAGTAGCTGGCTGACAAGAGGGGCTCACGGGGAGAGGCAGCACGAGGCGTGTCCAGACGTACCCGCTGGAGAGGGTGCGCGGGCTCGAGGGTGGCAGATACGGTCCTCTTTGCCGGACGCATCGAACTCAGCCTTGTAGAAGTCGTACTGCTTCTGGAAGTTCGTAAGCACCTCGGAAGATGTGGAAACGCAAGCACGAGATGACGTAAGCGACCTTATGCATACACCCGCACATATATATATATATATATATATATATACATGTATAGTTACACATATACATGTACATATATATATATATATATATACAGATATGTATGTGTAAAATGTATGCAATGTATGTATATCAACATATTCAGTCAGGCCGAACAACCATGAACAATCACTCACTGTCCCTGGGCGCGTAACTGCAATGGGATCCCGCGATGCGGATTATCGATGGTGTGATTGGTGTCGGGGTTGTTGTTGGTGCTGTTGCTGTTGTTGTTGTTCGTTGATGTTGGCGTCGTCCCACCCGCGACACCGCGACCCACCCGCGACCCAACCCGTGACCCACCCACGACTCACCCGCGACCCACCCGCGACCAACTCCGCGACCCACCCGCGACCCACCCGCGACCAACCCCGCGACCCACCCGCGACCCATTCCGCAATCCGCCCCCTGACCCACCCGCGACTCACCCGCGACCGACCCATCCCGCGACCCACCCACATTGCTTTAACGAACACATCGGCGCATGCGGCGGGCTTGCTCAGAGCCTCGCACACTGCCGACGTCCTCGCCGCCCCCCCACTCTTATCCTCAACTGCGGGTGCTACGTGTGCCGATATATATATATATATATATATACATACAAAAAACTACATACCTACCTACCTACCTACCTACCTACCTACCTACCTACCTACCTACCTACCTACCTACCTACCTACCTACCTACCTACCTACATACATACATACATACATACATACATACATACATGTGTGTGTGTCCGCAGGCAGAGGAGCACGAAGTGGAAGGAACGCCAGGCGAGTACACGGTGCTCAGCAGCGACGGCAACGCTAAAAAGGAAGGGCACCTCGGTGGTCGGCGACTTCAGCAGCTCCTTGACGGCGACGTCCTTGAGGTCCACTTTCGCGTCGGTGGGGGACAGCAAGGCGAACCTGAGGGGCTCACAGTCAGAAGCCAAGGTACGCATGCAAGGTTGGGTTGCAACCAATACCCTTGGAACGACCACACGAACATAATCGCAGCGACATCGAACCGACGCCAAGATCTCTGGCCGAGGATGGGCCGACTAAGCAATGGTGCAAGGCCACCTTTTGAAATATTGCACCAGAGAGCAACCCTTAATCAGTGGATGAGTTGAAGAATCGTGATATAGATATTGAGATCGGTTGTGAGATCGATAGTGAAACCGATCGTGGCATCGATAGTGAGGACGACAGTAAAGACAATTGATAGTGAGATCACTCGTGAGATCGATCGTGAGATCGATTGTGAGAACGATGGTGGGATCGATAGACGTGGATAATGGCATCGATGGTGAGACCGATCGATAAGAAGATCGAGTAGGAACGCGGGAACCCCGCCGCCCACCGAAATCGGCTCGGAACCCGAAAACAGAAACCCGGGAACCCGGAACCAGGAACCCGGGAACCCGGTCGCCTACCGACATCGGCTTGGAACTTTCGCCAAATCTTTCAATTTCCGCTAGGACCCCTTCAGTGAAAACACTGATTGGGGAACAGCGAACCACTAAACAAGTTAACCGGGGCGGGGCACATGGGCATACACAAAACGAGCCTCGTGAACCAAACGCTCAAGGAACTAAGAACGAGTTCATACGACCGTGGGAGACATTCCAAGGAGGATAAGCGGGAGGTAAGATTACTGTACCATGTTGGCTTTGCACATGTGCAAAAACAACCTTGATACTGTCCTTGCGCTACCATGAAGAGACCATAATACGGCACGGACAAGCTCTTTTGGCCACGGCGAGCCTCGGCCACGAAGAGACTGCCCGACCTGGATAGCAGGAGCGACCCGGAAAACCGAAGCCCCCTCCTGAGCCCAAGGTGGCTCTTATTTCCGCGAGGTGACTACAGCCACCCTGCTGCAGTGGGGAACGCTGAATGAAGAACGCCGAAGCGTTTTCTGGCCATGGCGAGCCTGCACTTCCCCGACCACGGTCCAACAGGCGGCACGGAAACTTGAGCAGAACCCCCTGAGCCCAAAGTGCTACATTGTTTCAGCGTCCTCCCTGCAACGCACGACAGGTTCCTGCTGTCAAGGGCGGGCCCTGCTTTCCAACACCGCGCGGGCCGTCCAACCTTGATATCATCACCGCTCGCGGCTTCCAAAAAATGTAGATTCCGCCTTTTCGCATGGAGTCCGCGCCGTGGGTCGTTTCCTGAAGGCCACAAGGGCCCGAGACGGCCTCCAGCCTTGAATGCCCGCGCTGGCGTCGTCGCCGTGCCGAGCTGGTGCCGACCTGCCAGGAGTCAATAGAGGCCCTCAGAGGCATCCTTGCTGAGCTCAGGACGCCTCTGAGGGCCTCTAAAGACTCCTAAGGCCACAGGATGCATCCTGAGGCCACAGAACTCGTACATCGAGGAGGGTGGCAGCAGATTGATTGATTCCGGAAGTCCAGGCAGCATGGTGAGGCCGGTTGGATGTGTTAAAATCGCCTCCGACTGTGCGCACAGCAGGCATGATACACGGAGCGGAAATGTGAACTATACAACGAACGACGTGTGCAATGCTACGCAAAAGCGAAAATCACACGACGTTTGTATGTTTCTGGCTTGGGCTGGGATTTTAAGCAGCCGTTGTACGTGACTGCAACTCTAGGGGGGCTGCAGATTTTGTCGGGGAGGATGCCGCACGCAAGACTTCCGCGGCCATATCTCGCCACGCCGTGGCACTTTTGCTGCACGGCCAACCGCCTGTCGGGCTTGCCAGCCAGCCAGCCAGCCTCCATCCTGCTTCTTTGTCCTCCCTCCTCCTCCTCCTCCTCCTCCTCCTCCTCCTCCTCCTCCTCCTCCTCCTCCTCCTCCTCTTCCCGCTCAGCCATCCCTGGCTCTCCAAGGCAAGTGGCTACGTACTGGTTTTCGCGGGGCCCAAGAGGCCCGTCATCTGCGTCTCGCCGCCAGGGATAATCCCTTGGAGGGCGAATGGATGTTCTTCTCATCAGGCTGTACCCTCGACTGTCGACCTCCAGATCCCGCCAGATCAGTTCCTCCTCAATTCTCCCGACCTCCTCGCTTCTCCTCCCCCCTCCCCCTGGGCTGGCCATGGAGCATATCTATACATATATCTATATATATATATATATATATATATATATATATAGATGTACACCTACAACTATAATATACAGACCTATCGATGGTGCAAGCAGGCAAGCTGCGATACGACTCAAATATTACAATCCTGCGGATGAGAAGGAAGATGAGGAGGCGGAAGAGGGGAAAATGCGGCTCGGGTCAGGAGAACGATGAGGTGGGGATGGTCCCTCATGATCCTCCTCCCGATGAGCATCATCATGAAACACCATCACTGACCTGGTCTTCCTCTCCGTCGAAGTCTTCCTCCAAGTCATCCTTCATACCATTACGCCCCCGTGCCCCCTGGTACGCAGAGGCGTGGTATACTGGTAAGTGCGGTCACGCTTCCCCCATTCCGAGGCTTCCTGAGCCGCACTGACGCCTCGATGGTGCTGCCCAGGAAGGCTGAGGAAGTTTACAAAGGACCCAAGAGTTGCCCAAATAACCTCCAAAGCGGCCCAAGATGGCGCCACAGCAGCCTCACGACTGCCCAAGAGGCCCCCAATCCGTCCCAGGCTGGGCCAAACTCCTAGCTAGTCCTGTGTTCTGTCCTTAGCGTTCTCTCCTCTTCAAGCTTCCATCAGCCTAGCACGGCCCAGGGTGCCTCCGAGAAGATCGCGGCGAGACGGCCCAAGGAGGCTCCCAACAAGACGGCCGCAGGATAGCCCAAGACGGCCGCAGGGTCGCCCAAGAAGCTCCCAAGACGGATGCAGGATAGCCCAAGGGGCCTCCCAGGTGGCCCCAAAGACGGCCCAGAGACCCCGAGGCGGCCCCCAAAGGGAACAGGACGGCCCAGAGAGGTGCCCCAAGGCAGACCCCGAAAGCGCCAGACGGCTCAGGAACGCCCGAAGACGGCCCAAGAAGCCCCCAGAAACGGACCCACGAGGCCTCCGGGAGGTTCCAAGAGGAGGATCCAGGAGCCTTCCAGAGGGCCCCACGAGGCCCCAAGATGGGAGGAAGGAAGAGGAGGCGGGAGGAGTTCGACGACGACGACGACGACGACGAGAAGAGGCACCCCGACACAGTGCGGAACAGCGAGTTACGCACTGAGGGCGACACGCCTCGAACGTCGCTGCGGCCTTCTGGGCGGTGCTTGAAAGGTCGCCACTCAGAATGCTGTGATGACACGGTGGTGGGACCCGCCGCAGGCAGCCGGGTACAGTGTTCGTGCGACCATGCAGTGGAGGCCAGTCCACCAGAAGCCTCCCGCCTGTCGTTTCCAGGGCCCACTAAGAGCCAGAGCACCATGGAGGCAGGCAGGCTGTCTCTTGGCACGGGTCCCCACTGCAAAAAAAACAGTCTGAGGAGCGAACGGCCTTCTCTGTGTTGCCACGGCGCGCCTCGGCGACGAAGAGAAGCTCCCGCGCTGCGATCCAAGACACGGCTCGAAGGCCGGAGCCCCTCCTGAGCCCAGAGTGGTCCGCTTCTCGGCGTCTTGACTCTGCTCCTCCTGCTCCTCCTTCTCCTCTTCGCGCCCTCGTGAGCAATCAACAACATAAACACTGCTCCTCCTCCTGTTCCTCCTTCTCCTCTTCGCGTCCTCGTGAGCAAGAAACAACATCAACACTGCACATAAACAAGGGAGGAGAGGGAGGAGAGATGGATCGTGCACAGCCAAGGGGCCAATCGACGGATCGCTCACAACTGTCGGGGAAACCTTACCGCTACTCCCCGGACCTCTCCTGGGGTGCGTTCTGACCAGGATTCCGAGGCGCTTTCCAGCGGTGGCGACGAGGGAGGGCCTCCCAGGAGGCCGAAAAAGGGGAAAACTAGGGAGGGTAGAAGTACACGTCGGTCGGAAGAAGTAGGAACAAATATTGAGTAAGAAGGCAGCTCATGTCGATTGGGTTCAAGCCCTCCCAAATAATCACATAACAAAACACACAACATCAAATCGATTAATTAAGTAGGAAGGCGCTTGAAGTAGATCGGGATCTGGGAATACCAACAAACCTGCTTTCAACGATCGGCGTGCATGGGCACCTGTTCCTCCTCGGAGCTCTTCTTCTTCGAAGGGCAGCTGACGTGGCTGCCACGAGGGCCCCAGTCCTCTCCCTGCGGGCCCCAGGCGGCGCCGACCGGCGCGGGGCCTCTTCACTCTCAGCTGCCTGCCGTTGTAGCCCGCCAGCGCGCCGCGCATGTCGTCCAGCGTGACGGTGTCGCCGTCCTGCCCAGGGGGAAGTTGTGAGGGAACCTGGGACCGTATATGGGAATCTGCTGATGGGGGCGCGAAGCTTGTGAAGAGTATTGGGAGGGCTCGAGACGTACACTGCATCGTCTGGTCGGCCACGGAGTGCGGTGCACAACACAGACACACCAGCTTCCCCATCTCTGGGGCGCTGGAGCGTTCGCCGAACTCCTTCGCCGAACTCCTTGGCCCCTTGGCAGACCAACCGACGAGGTGCAAACCAGGCTTCGCGCTCCGCGGAGCGTGATTCTCTTCGAGCTTTCGCGTGGCCGCCCCCAGCACGGGAGAAGGGCCTCGCGCCTCGCTCTGAGATCGCCCAGGCCGCCAAACGCGACGCGCGACGAACTCCGCTCCCCCGTGGTGGCCCCTGGGGGCATGCCGGAGGCTTCGCGCGGCAACTTGAACCCCAGCTGAGGTCGAACCCACGTCGGATCTACTGAAGGGGCCCTGGGACACACAAATAAATACACACAAATAGAAGGATCCCCCATATTTTCCTATAGTTCACGCCGGATTTGCGTCGGAGTCACTTCGGAACGTCGCCGCGCGCACGCCGTCCCAGATCCTGACGGGGTGGACGTGCGGCCTACAGTCGGGGTGGATTGGAGAGGCACCGAGAGAGGACACAAGACTCTTCCGATGGCCA